TAGTCCTTTGTTGTTGAGTTACGAGTTATTAATATTCTAATATTCTGAATATTAGGGCCTTATCAGACATGCGATCTGCAAATATTGCCTCTCATTTTGTGGGTTGTCTTCTTGCCTTTTTGATAGTGTCCTTGGAAGTATAAAAATTTTAAATTTTGATACAGTTCAGTTAATCTACTCTTCAGTTAATCTACTCTTTCCTTTGGTTGTGTGTGTTTGGTATCAGGTCTAAGAGACCATGCCTAATCCAAGGTCACGACGATTTATACCTGTTCTTTTCTAAGAGTTTTATAGTTTTAGCTCTTATATTTAGGTCTTTGATCTATTTTGAGTTAATTTTTATATAAAGTGTGGAAGCCCAACTTTATTCTTTTGTGATTATCCAATCATTCTAGCATAATTTGTTGAAAAAAGTTGCTCTTTCCCCACTGAATTGTCTTGGCACTTTTGTTGAAAATCAATTGACCATAGATGTATGGATTTACTTTTGGATTCTTAATTCTATTCCATTGATCCATATGTCTATCCTTATGCCAGTACCACATGGTCTTGCTTAACGTAGCTCTGTAGTAAGTTTTGAAATTGGAAAATAGGGGCGCCTGCGTGGCTCAGTCGTTAAGCGTCTGCCTTCGGCTCAGGTCATGATCCCAGGGTGCTGGGATCGAGCCCCACGTCCAGCTTCTGGCTCGGCGGGGAGCCTGCTTCTCCCTCTGCCTCTGCCTCTCCCCCTGTTCATGCACTCTCTCTCTCTCTATCTGTATCTCAAATGAATAAGTAAAAAAAATCTTAAAAAAAAAAAAAAGAAATTGGAAAATAGAAGTCTTCCAAACTCTTTTTTCCCTATGAGATTGCTTTAAAGATTCTCGGTTCTATCCATTTCCATATTAATTCTAGGATCAGCTTGTTAACTTCTGAAAAAGGGCAGCTGAAATCTTGATAGGGATTGTGTTGATCTTATACCAATTTGGGGATTATTGCCATCTTAACAAGATAAGTCTTCCAAGAACAAGTCATCCATGAACAAGGATGACTTTCCATTTATTTAGGTCTTTAATTTCTTTCAGTGATGTTTTGTAGTGTTCAGTGTACAAGTCTTGCACTTTAAATTTATTCCTAAGTATTTTATTCCTTTTGATGCTATTATAAATGAAATTATTTTTTTCTTTAAAGATTTTATTTATGTATTTGAGAGAGAGAGAGATGATAAAAAGAGTCATTTAGATAAAAGTCAATGTGACCAGCAAGTCTCTCCCCACCCTGGTCCCCTGGTTTCCTTCCCCTTAGGCAACCACTAGGCTCATTTCCTGGGAGACTGTCTATAGCTGCTTGCCGGCCAGAAGGGCAGAGGTGAATAGTTGCTCTGGAGACCGTATAGCCTGCTAATCCTAAAATATTTTCTATCTGACCCTTTATAGAAAAGGTTTGCTGATTCGCTTTTTAGTCTTTTATCATTTCAAAGGATGCTGCTATGATACGCTAGGACATCTTTGTATATATGTCATTTTACACAGTGAATTTGGATGGAAGGAATGCTCTTAAGTGCAATGGCTAGGTCTTAGGGTCTCCGTCTCGGTCACTCTGGTAGGTATTACCAAGTAGCTCTCCGGAGAAGTTGAAGCAATTTAGACTCCCTCCGACAATGCATGCTTGGGCTTGCTTCCCACAGCCTCGCATTAACAGTGCGCTAATAATTCGACACTTGCCAATCTGGTAAGTGAAACCTGGCACTCACTGTACTTTTAATTTGCATTTTTCTCATTATGGATAAGGGCTAAGCATCTTAAGTCTAAAATTTTAAAAAATCGAAACACCGAACAACCCCTCCCGAGGCCTTCCCGGTCCAGTCGACTCAGGACTCGGGGGCTTGGTCACCCGCTCCCCGCGGGACGCGGGGCGTGGCGGCGGGAGGCGGGAGGCGGGGGCGCGGACCCCTCGCTGCCCCCCTTCCCTGGCTGGCCGCGGAGCCCCGCCCCGGGTCCGCCT